AAATTTGAAGACTCATTCTGTCCTTATTACTGTCAGTGGAGGCATAAGATTGTTCTCCATCTCCTGGGAAAAGCAGCAGAAATTTCATTTGGAAGCCAGACTGGTAAACTCACAAAGCAATGATTTTTAACCAAGGCTTCATTTCAGAGTCACATGTGAAGCATTTGGGAGTAGTTCATGCATAGATTCCTCCAGGGAGCTGGCTTAGTAGATCTGCAGTAGGATATGATAATCAGTGTTTTTTAGAGTTTGTTGACTGACTGTGCTGTTTGCCCTTATTGTTCAGATGAAACTGCTGTGGTAAAAGACTGTTTTTTTCTAGGTACTGACCCTGGAAATACTTCTGTAAATAAACCAGTGGATATATGTTCTTTCTTTGTTCACATATCTTCATTTCACTTATATCCTGGTGTATTACTTACCTATGACTGCTATAACAAATTACTGAACAGAAATTCATCCTCTGACAATTTTAGAGACTGGAGGTCTGAAATTAAGATGTTGACAGGGCTGCACACCTCTGAAGGGTCTGGGGGAGAATCTGTTCCTGGCCTTTTCTAGTTTCTGGCCATGACCAGGGCACCTTATCTTCTGTCCATATCATTCCATCCTCTTCGTTCTACTATCTATTGCCTTCACTTCTTATTCTTTAAATCTTCCTCTGCCTTCCTCCTGTAGACACTTGCCACTGCATTTAGGGCCCACCCACATATTCTCTTCATCTCTGACTCTTTAACTTAATCATGTCTTTAAAGTTTTTTCCATATAAGGGAATATTCAGAGTTCTAGAGGTTAGGACCTGGACATGGTAGGGGCTGTTATTCAGCCTCCACAGCAGGCCATTATTTCACTGTGTGTATCCATATGGTGCCTCTCCACTTATTCCCAGCTGTCTCTCCATGGGCACAGGCAAATGAACAGCCTGCCAGGATAGTGTTTACCACAAATGCTGACATCTTGGCTAGGTCAGATACCTTATCTCTAGCAACATGAAGGTTATTTTCTTGAGCTGCAGCCTGTACCTCTACTCACAAGGCTGGTATCTTTAGTCCTAAGTGGACTGAGAATCTAGGATTGTTGCAGCATTCCCCTTGTCCTCTCCAACAAAGGCACTCAAGCATGTGTCCTAGCAACAGTAGCTCTTGTGTAAAGCTCATCTTTTAAGAATAGAATCTCACAGTGACCAGCATTATTTTAATCTATTCACAGAGAACAAGAAGCCTTGTTACCTTTTCCTGTGAGGCGTGTACAGGAAAATTTGGTTTTAGGAGGGCAATGTAGGTAGCTGATGGTAAATGTGAAGAGAGAGGGTTGGAGATGATGTTGCCCAGTGCCCTGGGTTCAATTCCCAACTCACACCCCCCACCCTTCCCCCCTAAAAAAAAAGAAGAGGAGAAAATGTTTCTGACTCAAAGTTTGTGCAAAATACTGAGATCTTGAGAGAAGTTAATTCTACTGGGCTTCATTTTCTTCATCTCTGTAAGGAAGCATTTGCCCCTTTCAGCTTTGAAATTCTGTTGTGTTTTTCTTCTCTTGCCATCAGAAAGGAGAAGAGAAAAAGGGCCAGTGCAGACACACTTTAGAGAAGATGGCAGAAGGTTAAGGAAACCCATGAATATGAAGACCCTACTGAAGCCTGATGTGCTGAATAATTAGTGACACTAATCTTTGCTATTGCTTAATGTCTTCTAGTAATACTAAAGTAGTCACATACAAATTGGGAATATTATGGAGTAATGGAGGGCTCTGCTAGTGACTGAGTTAATACTACTTCCTCCCCAATGATAGACACCCTACATCCTTGCCATCAGGGATGGGCCCAGTCATGGTACCTCGTCACTAGTGCATGGACTGACCCACTGCAGAATGGTGACCTAAGCCACAATGAGAGTCCCTGCCTGTGGCTTTCATTCTGGAGCTGGGAGAAAGAGCTGTTTGTCTTCTTCCATTTAGAGACACAGGGTATGAATAGGTATTGCTTGTAGTGGACAGTTTCTTGTGTTGTACAAAAGCAAGGACTGGAAATGTTTGGAATGGAAACAGGAGAAGAAAGAATTGAGAGGAGAAAGGGAAGAGGCTAAACTGCATCACTGAGGCCAGCACCATCCATACCTTTTTCTGATTTGACTAGCTAAACTAGTAGGTCACTGTTAGTCTTAAAGCAATTAGAGTTTAGTTATTTGACATTTTAAACCAAAAGAAATCTTGATTCACGTATGGGATGTTAAGGTAGAGACGTCAGAGTGGGTTTGGTCAAAAATTGTGTAGTGTCTCATTTTAGGTATAACAGAAAGGTAATAGAACAATTAGTTGAAGGTGCAGATTGAGGATCCCTCATCTGAAATGTTTGTGGCTAGAATTATTTCAAATTTGGGTATATTTGCATTTGCATAGTAAGATATTTTGAGGATAGGATGAAATTCACTATGTTTCATGTATACCCTAACACATATCCCAAAGACACATTTATACAATATTTTCAGTAGTTTTATGCATGAGACAGTTTCTTTTTTCAGTTTTTTGAGACAAGGTCTTGCTATGTAGTTTATACTGGCATTGAGCTCATGCCCTCCCTACATCAGCCTCTCAAGTTCTGTAATTATAGGTGTCCACTACTGTGCCCAGCTTGAAATAAAGTTTCATAGTGTGGAATTTTCCACTTGTGGTATTATGTTAGTGCATCATGTTGGTTTCAGATTTCGAGCATTTTAGATGTTGAATTTTCAGATTTGGTAGTTCCACATGTATTAACAAGCCTGGTTGGAGTGAAAGACCATATGGTACACCATGATGTCTAGGCTGACCAAAATAGGAAGTGATGACTGTGGAGTAGGGATGAAGATGAACCAAAGGAATTCAGTTCTTAACTGGACTAAATAGACAAAGTATGTGCAGCTGTGATGAGGATGTAGAAGTGTTCGATGCCTTTGCAAAGCATCTTCCTTTTTATTAAGAAAAATAATGGATTACCATAAAACACTCTAAAGAATCAGGAAAATCCGTTTGTAATTTTGTGATTATAAAGGATAGGGATATTACTCATCCTTTAGATTTGACATTCTCTAATAAGAAACCTATTTTATAGTATATACAAAGGGCAAGGACTTGATTTACAATATGACAAGTAAGTCTGGTGAATTAGACAAGATACTTAATTGTTAAATTTTTTTTTGTTGTGAGATGTCTGACTGATTGAGTAGTGAGAATTTTTTAATTTTGAACTCCATTTCTCTTGAATCAATATTCTCAAGGGGAAAATAATTTGAAACAGAATTGTTGAAGGGTAGAACTGAATGTATTAGAAAAATTTAGCTGCTTATATATCACTTTCAAACTGTCTACCTTTATGGACAGATTTCTTATTAATCTTGCCACATTGTAAATTACTCTGGCTAATGTTGAGCATGGTGGTATTAGAAAGAACTGTTAGTAATCTCTTATCATTTTCAGTTTCTCAGCCCACTATTACTTAAGGGTTCAAGATGGCTTAGGCAGGTAATAGAATCCATTCAAAAGACATTTATCTGGCAGTCTCCTGAGACCCTCTGCACTTCTGCAAGAGTTCAGCATCATAAGACATTACCTACATTGTAGGTTGTTGGAGTTCTTCAGTAAATTTGAGTTCCTCAAAGAGTATCCAATTGTTAGCATGGCCTTTATGCCCCATATCGTTTATTTTACTTTTGTGTCCTCTCATTGTTTGAGGACATGTACATTACCATGTTCTGGTGAGGATAAAATATGCATTATGTATATTCACTACCATAATTATTCAGTAGTTAAGTTGACTATTAGAGCCACACTGGAGAACTTCTATGTGGCATGTCAAGACAATGGCTTAGGATACATATATTGAGTCTTAATTATAAAATCTGTAACTTCAGTACATTTGTACTAAATTTGGAAGTGTTTTGATGTAAAAGAAATTCACTGTTGGTATGTGGACACTTGGACAGGACATACTAAGAAGCAAATGATAGTAACACAAAATACTTCTGCCTCTATTCTGCCAGGCTTCTTGGACAACTTTCTGAACCTGACTTTCCTCATTTGAAAGATGAGGGCTTGGCTGACATCTGATCTCCCTTTTCTTGTGGCAAAGTAAATGAAGTCTTTGCTAAGCCTTAGGCTATACTAGTCCAGTCCTTTGAGGAAAAATGTCCAAACATCACTATGATAAGAATAATAGTTATTCTTTTACTCAATATAATTTTCTATTGTGGTTTTATATCTTAGAGATGAATTTGTGTGTTCTCTATTTCATCTTATTCAAAGCATTTTCCTGTACAGTTGTTTTGAAACAAGTTGATTACAAGGACCTTACATGTAATGCTGAAGGTGGGAGAATTAATGAGGCTATCTTATGCTAACAGGGCTATGTAACTCATGTTACCAAAGTCCTAAAGAAGCCTTCTGTCTCCTCTACTACCACCATACACACCAATGTAGCATTCACTTAACTGTGAAGTGGAATTATGATGTTAGAATAATAAAAACTTCTGAAGTCATTCGTGAAGAAGCTCTGAAACTATTCTATGTTTCCATATCTGGCTTTAGTCCCCTTTCTCATTCATTCAGTTGCCCTGAAAACAGTTGTGCTTCTTCCATTCATGAGAAAGGTGTGAGGATGACCAGTGTCCAAATTAATGAAACTATAAGACAATGTTTGAATGACAGAAGTAGACTGCACAGTCCAGTTTTCATCATATGCTAATTTTACTGTGGTGAAATGTAATACATAGTGCTATATTATTTATAAAAGACAGTTTTAACTTTGTCCATTGTGTTTGTTTCATAAAACTCTGTTTACCCTTGTGCTCATTTACCTCCCTGTGTATTCTCATCTTTCCAGAACCATGATGCTTCAGATGATGAGATTGTGAAGGAGTGAAGGAGTTGCCTGTGGGCTCACTCAAGCCTTTTGGCTTTGGTCATTTACTATAGTCAGAGTATGGAACAGAATGAAAAGAATAATTCAATCTTATTTTCTCTCATTACAGGCTCTGTACAATTCAATCAAGAATGAGAAGCTTGAATGGGCAGTGTAAGTATGCTGATGTCAACTTTTTAATAATGAATTAGTTCTTTCTTACTGTCTTTATGCCTTAAAGGTGATTTTAGAGAAAAATTAAATATGCATTGCCAGTTCTCATTTTACTCCAGGTATCTTACCTACTTTGTGTTGTCCCTAAGAAAACCTCAAGTAATCTGTGGTGTCAGTTTCTATTTTAACCCGCTCCTTGATACCAAAGTGCTTCTATTCTGCTTTTAATCTGCTTACCATGCCTATAAGCAATTAATTATATTTCAAGGTATTTATTACAAAATAAATACAATAGCATTCTAAAAGAAAATGTGATAAAATTATACTTATTCCAAAACCTAATACACATGATTTTGGTGTCATCTACATAGTTTGATCCTCTCCTTCATGTAGATCAAGGTTTTCCAATCCTAATCATACTAGGACATACTAAAACATTGATGGATATTAACTACAAAAATAAAAAGGTTCTGTGACTAGATTGAGAAATGATGGAGTAAATCTAATTTTTTTAACTTCAAAAACTCTAGGAGCTCATATAATGCCATTGTATCTGAAAGAGAAATAGTTTCCATGTTTCCTGATCATATTTGACAGTAAAATGTAGTGTTTCAAGGTACATACTTTGGGAAATATTGTTGTAGACAAGTTATGCTTAACTTTATGTAAACCAGTATTGCTACTCTGGTTAAATTTTCACTAATCAATGAAGCAATTGAGTTTTAAAAAATATTGCTGGAGAAGAATCTTCACTAAATTTTTGATCAAGTTATCAAGAAGCTAGGTCAAAATGGATTTTTTAAATTAGAACTACATGTATATTTTACTGTTATTGATAGTGAGCACCATAAATTTTCTTTTACATGTGGCCTAACAGCAATGTGCAGTGAAATCATGTTTACAGAATCCTAACTTGGGAAATAAATTTCGTTCTTTCATGTACAAATTGGGGCAATGTGGTTTAGCAGGTGTCTTCATCTCAACATATAGAATGAATTTGTAAAAATCAGTACTGCTTGAATTATTTCCACAGCTGTAGAGCCATATGGTACTATTTCAAATTGAATCAGAATGTAAGACTTTAGTGTTTGCATGCATATGTAAGCACTTATGTGCCTGTGTCATAATGAGACTCACTTAATGGTACATGAATGTAAGTTTAAGAATTCATGCTCTAAAATCCAAGGTAATAATTTTTTGGACCTGTCCCTCTCATAGATGATAATGGGTTCCTTAGAAAATTTTGTGACTGATATACTTAGAATCTTGTTGAAATGTTAAAATCATATGCTGACCTACATAAATATACCCTGTAGAGAAAATTAATAACAATGAAATAATTATAAATAAATTTATACTGGGAGAGAGAATACTTTGAAGATTATTTCATAACGTTATTTTATAAAACTAAATATACTCCTGAGAACCTGTTTTTTTCAAATCTAGATTTTTTTGATATGTTGAATTTTTTTGTAAGTTTTATTTACATATGTATGTGTAGGTGGAATTTTGTGAAAGGTCCTATGCAAGGATGCAGGAGATAAGGGGCTTTACCTGAGAACTGGATTTTTCTCATCAAGTCAGCAGAACATCCTGTTATGGAGCCCAGATTCCAGAGTCAGATTTGAGTTTGAGTACCAGTTCTGTCATGTCCTGGCTGAGTCACTGGTCAACTTAACCTCTAGGCCTCAGTTTCCCATTCTGTGAGATGGACCAATTATTGAGCTTCATGTTACCCACAGTATGATACTGTGAAACTTTCTGAAACGCTAAACATAAAGCAAGTTCCCCTTCAATTGATACTTGCTGCTATAGCTTTTAAAGCCCCCGTTTCTATTTTTTGTCTCCTTCATTTTTATCTTTTATCCATGTGCTTGTATATGTAATATATGCTTATGCTTTATCAAGAATAAGAAGGCATGTGGCAGTTTATGATTAGCTGTGTCTCAAGCAACTATAAAGTGAAGGGATTGGATGAATTAGTCACAAGCATCCTTTCCAGTTTCCAATAATGCTGTAAGTTTCTGAATTTTACTATATACAATAGTTTCCTAAGCTAACTTCCTTTAGAAAGAACACCACTGTATCTAGCAAATATAAAACAACAAGAACTTGTGAGCCAAATGACTCTTGGAATAAAGAATGGGTTAAGCAAAGTTAAGAGCTTTTTCTATTGCTGACTTCTTCAGCCTTTAATCTCTGACATACATATTATTTATTTTGTTTTATTGTTGTGCTGGGTAGGAGTACATTGTGGCATTTACAGAGGCTCTTACAGTGCATCAATTACCATATTTGAATTCACCCCCTCCACCATTCTTCCTTATCCCCCTCCCCCATTTGAGAAATAATTTCAACGTATCTTTTTTCCATTTACATTCATGTGTACACAGAATTTGCACCATATTCACCCTATTACATCCTTTCCTCACCTTCTCCCCCTCCCACTGGTATCAAACACCCCCACCTCCTTCCTGTTCTCCAATTTTGCAAAAGAAAGGAAAAAGAAATGACATTTTTGCTTGTTTAAGATAGCTACACAGGGAATTTCCTTATAGTACTTCCATGTATTATAGTCTGATTTGGTTCATTTCCTCTTTTTTATTCTTGCTGCTTTATTCCCTTTCTTACGGTTTTTTTCAGCCAGTTTAAAAATTCTGCATTCATTTTTGTATAAAGAGTACATCAACCATATGTACCTTAATTTCCTTCTTTTATCCTCCCCTCTTGTGTGTGAGCTCCTCTTGGCAAGTCCTGTTTTTCATAACATTGCTGCATTTGTATTAGGTCTATATTCTGCATATGAGAGAAACTGTGCAACTTTCGGCCTTCTGAACAAACATGGCTAACTTCACTTAAGATGATGTTCCCCAGTTCCATCCATTTACCTGCAAATGACAAAAATTTCATTCTTCTCTGGCTGAATAGAATTCCATCATATATAAGTAACACATTTTCTTAATTCATTCGTCAGTAGAGGGGCATCCTAACTGTTTCCATAGCTTAGCTATTGTGAATAATGCTGCAATAAACATGGGTGTGCAGGTGCCTTTGTTGTAACCTTACATTCCTTAGAGTATATATGTAGGAGTGGAATTGCTGGATCATATGGTAGTTGTAGGTTTAGTTTTTAGAGCGGCCTCTGTACTGTTTTTCATAGTGGTTGTACTAGTTTATATTCCCATCAGCAGTGTATGAGGGTTCAAATTTCTATAGGTGATAAAGGGCCAGTACTCAAACTTTTTAAGTCACTGAGTCCTCCTTTGACCATAAGCACTTTTTAAACATCTATTAGAAACTAGTACTCTGTACACTGTAGAGTATACTTTAGAAAGTATTGCTGTATGTCAATTTCTGTGATCCTTTAGATCAGGAATTGTGTTATGCTTTTTCCTTGATAAATGTGTATGTGCTTAGATATAATTAGTTATAATGCTGTGCTCTCCCTGTTCTTCTTATACCTTCTGTTCTTTCTCTGACTCACTTTCTACCTTTTATCTGTTAACATTGGCGCTGCCCTAAGATCAACACTTCAGAGTCTTCTTTTGATATAGTCTTTTTCTCAGCAATCTCACTCTCCCTAAAACTTCATCTACCTCTCTATAAAAATTCTTCCTAGATATAAATACAGCTTGGATCTCTTTCCCAAGTTTCAGTTCAGTATTCTGCAGGACATTCCTGCCAGCACTCACCAGGCATCATTTGTTTCCAACCTTCCTTATAGATGACACCAGCATTTTCCAGCTTCCTGGGTTTTAGCCTCTGAGTCCTCTTTGATTCCTCCCAATTCTTTACTCCTGCAGAAATGGCCCCAACCTGTGTCCTTCTTCTTCATCCCTACTCTCCCTTCTCTCTCACCACCCCCCCCAATCCCTTGGTATTCTTACTTTTTACTTCCTAACAAGCACCTCTGACTTCAGTCTCTTTCCTGTCCTTTTACCTGTTTGATGCATTCCTCCCTGTAATTTATTTTACTCCCTTTTATTGTCTTCACACAGTCCCCACTCCAAATAGGCTGTCTCTGGGTATAGTTCTCTGTGCTTCCCTGGTGACATCCTGCCTTTTTTGCCCATGTTCATGAAGTGCACTTTGCTTACAGCCTTGGTCCCATCATCCATTATAGCCTGGCTTTCATAACTCATTCTTTGAAGTCTTTCCTGATCTTGCCACCCAAAAATTATCTCAGCCCTTAACTACCCATTTTACTTTATCTTATGGCACCATCACTTTCTACTCCCCATTATAGTGATTTGTCATAAGGTATCATTACAGTGTGAGCTCTTTAAGGAAATGCTACATATCTGGATTTGTTCTTTTATCTCCCTTGCTGATCCAGTTCCTATATGTAATGAAAACTCCATAAAAGGCTATAAAGGAGGTGTGTATGATCAGATATGTATATGGAAATTCCATGTTGAAACCCCTTAATATATGCTAATAGAAAAGAAAAAATATTATCCTAAAAATGGCTATAAAAGAGACTGGATGTGTTACTCATTGTAGAGTTTGCTTAATATGCTCAATAGGCCCTGAGTTTGATCCCCAGCACTGGTGGGGTGTGGGAGAAGGCCATAGAAAGGTAGATTGTTAGTGATATACAAAGAACTGGATCCTTGAAAGGTAAGTTTATAATTGTATAGTTTAGAAAATAGTTAAAGGCAGCATGATGCAGCTGCAGAATATGTGGGATAACCTGTATTTGCATGGTAAATGTGTTGATACTGGTTTTTGAACCTTAGTGGAAACTGAATTACAGAATCACGGAATGTTACAGCTAGACAAACCTTAATGGGATTTTGTTCATTGGCTTTCTAATTAGATTCTAACTTGAATTCCAGGGAGAGATCATAGGGACCTCTGAGAGAAGTGAAAGGTGGAAAAGTGTAGAGAGCCAGTTCTGCCTCCCGACAAGTACCATGCTATTTCAGTTGACCAAACCAGCTCCACATTTATCTTTTTATAAATACGTAATTAAAGTTCAGTTTTTCTTTTGTAATGTA